TATGACAATTGGTTTCTTTTAATAGTCAGAGAAAGCTGTTTTTTTTGCTGAACAGTTCACTGCATAATAACCTAAAATATAAAGTATCAGAATAGGGGCGAATGAACCACAAAAATCTTTGTTTTTCATTGTTGTCTAAAAACTCCATGGAAGGAAAAGAATTTACATGCTGGTGCATGTAACATGAAATCATGGCTTACCATTATGTGTGAATTTGGCCAATGTATCACTGATGTAGGGGTAGGGAAACAGCCTTGCAATATATTTTTGTTCTCAGATAGTAACAAGTTCAGTGAAGTAAGGGGGACATTTTCCTCCAATCATGGATGAGGGTGTACAACTTTTAGGAATCAAGAGCTGCTGAGTTGTTGAATAGAATGCTATATGTCATACTTCAAAAAATGATGATTTAAATTAGAAAAGATGGTGAGGCCAGAATAAAAAAAAAGTCTATGGAGGACTTCCGGTTTGGGTCTGTTCAGCGACAGACCAAAATCCGCAATCGTGCATGGTTTTGATCTGTGCTCGCCGCTGGAGCGCCCTGATCCATTGGATTCGGGGCTGAAGCCCCCCCATAGAGGTGATGAAGAGGGGGGAGATCGCGGATGAGTGGAGGAGAGCCACATCTCTCCACCTTGGTTGGTCTAAACTCCCTTCCCCGAAGGCGGTTGCAGCGGTGGTCAGAAATGGCCACCTCAAAGAAGAACCCGACTAGATAAAATTGTGCAGGAGGAAGACAAAGAGGAAAGCAGGACAGACCGGGCTAAACAACAGAGAACATCTAAGCAAAGTACTCTGAATCTAAAAGTACATAGAGGGATACTTCTGAAAGAAGACCTTTAAGTGGCGAAGGAGAGAGAAAAGGAGGTTAAAACCCCTTTTTTACCTTTATATTGATAATTACAAATGGTATGGAAAGAAATTTATATTAATCTATTTTGACACTAATAGGCAACCTTAAGCTGAAATCTAAGCGTCAAAAGGAGAATAAAGATTTTTTCTTGGTCATTTTAAAGCCCTAAAAAGAAGAAGAGTGGAGGCAAAAGGGTGGGACTTGGAATAATGGAAAAATAGAGTGCCACCTGGAAAAATAAAGAGGATTAACAGTGAAATTTTGAAAAGACTCCCGAGGATACATTGTAACTGAAATCTTATTAAAAGATACAGTAACTCACAGAAAGGAAAAGTAAAGGAAAGAAACAAGAAGGAACAGTGTGGGATCATTTGGTGATTTTTAAAAAAAGGTTTTGGCATTGGTTTTTTCTTTCTTTTTCTATTTTTACTTAAAGTCAATCGGGTGGTTGTACAAAAGTGTTTAAAATGCCATCACTCCTGGAGGAATTGAAGATAAGTCTTAAAAAACAGAAAGAAGATGCAGAAAGGGGAGAAAGATCCTTTGGCTTCGTATTTGAATTTTTTGAAATGGAAATCCTGAACTATGAAAAGCAAAAGGAAAAGCTTCAAGAGCAAGAAGGGTGGGACAAAGAAGAAGCCATTTTCAATGATCAAATAATGCAAAGTGTGGCAATAAGGGGAAAAAGGGGGAAAGGAGTTAAAAGTTTGAGATCAAAGGGAACATCCAAAAAGCAAAATAGTCTGAAAAAGAAGTATAATAGCAAAGAGAAGCAGAAAAGAAAACTACAGAAGGGAAAATTAGAGAGAGAAGGGTATAAAAAAGGGATAAGAAAAAGGGGGGAAAGATAGAAAGGAAGTGAGATAGAAAGATAGAAAGGAAGTGAGGATTCTGCAAAGGTACAAAAGATACTGTTGTGACAGTAGAATACTGTAATGAGTTAGAAATGAAATAAGTGAATAATCTATGAGATAAAACTATATTGTTATGTAATTGTATGTTTATTTATAATTAATGCAATAATAAAGAAGAGAGGAAAACATTGCAATTGTTTCTAAAGATTGATAAAATATTGAAAAGAAATGTGAAAGATTTATAAGGAAATTTATACCAGTTATTAGAATGAATTTGAATAATTATTTTGTTTATTAATAGTAAATAATTTATAAGATAAAACTGTATGACTATCCAATGGTATGCTTATTAACAGTTAAGTAATAATGAAGAAGGGAGGGAAACATTTCAATTGTTCTCAAAGATTGATAGATATTGAAAAGAAACGTGAAAGATTTACAAGGTTCTCACTCTGAGAAGCACAGAGCCGAAGACACAAGCCTGAAGATGATGAATGAGACTTCATTGAAACGTTGCCTAGATACTTCCAATCTTACGTGGGAGAAAACCCGAACAACCAAAGATCCACATACAAATACCCGCGAGAACCTCAGAAAACATATATATATATGGCATTCAGCTTTGTTCGGGTATTTTCCCACGTCATTGTATACCTGAACAAAATACCCGAACAAAGCTGAATGCCATACATGTAAGTACCCGCGAAAACTTAAGAAAACATATATATATATGTGTGTGTGTGTGTGTGTGTGTGTGTGTGTGTGTGTATGTAAATATGTATATATGTATATATATGTGTGTGTGTGTATATATATATATGGTATTCAGCTTTGTTCGGGTATTTTCCCCACGTCATTGTAGTTGTGCTTTTAAAGTTGTAGCAACGTTTTGGCAGAATCTCATCTGCCATCATCAGGCTTCTGTATTGTGTTTGAAATTTGAATGTTATAATTTTAGAATGCACAAATTCAATGTTTAATGAGATTTCATATGATAAAATAACAATAAGATTTAAAGGTGTTGCACTTCGATTGGCAATCATAGGGGGAATTTTGCTTCTTAAGAATGTTGGAAGAGAACATATAAAATTGTAAACAAGACAGATGAAAGTATAAGTACAACGAATAAAAAATATAGAAATTTAGGTAAAAGAAATACAATTGAATAAGAAGAAAATAAGATAACCATAAAAGAAAATTAAGAGAAGTAAAGGGAGAAATAGTGAGAAGTTGGAAAAAGAGTAATAAGATATGAAGTTGAATACATAAGATGAATATGCATATGAAATTGTGTCTGTATGGAAATGTGATAACCTGGAACCATGCTGTACTCAAATAAGATGTTTTATTTGTTTTGTTAAAACTTAATAAAATTTTATTTTTTTTAAAAAAGTGCTGTACTCAAATAAGATGTTTTATTTGTTTTGTTAAAATTCAATAAAATTTTATTTTAAAAAAAAGTCTATGGAGATTCTCATTCATCCAGGTCATGGCTGTCCCAAAGGTGCTTTTTCAAGAGGCAACGGGACTTTCTTTGTTTT